GCCAGACCTCTACGTGAACCAATGGCGGTACTTGAGCAAGACATGTTGGGGACCGGTGAGAGGAGAGAAGAGGAGAAAAGAGGAGAGGAGAGGAGAGGAGAGGAGAGGAGAGGAGAGGAGAGGAGAGGGGAGGGGAGGGGAGGGGAGAGGAGAGGAGAGGAGAGGAGAGGAGAGGAGAGGAGGAGGGAGAGGAGGAGAGTGGGACCGGGGATAGCCCCAAGAATCGTGTCAATGATACCGGCATCCTCAAGATATCTTGATTTCTACACCCTTATACTATCCGTGATCAAGAAGGTTAAAACTTTGCTTCTGCAGCAGATGACGGGAACGATTACGGTCGACATCAACTGGAAGAATGTAATGTGTACGAATCTGAGCGGAACTTGCTCTACCCTCTCTTACCCCTCTGTTGGTGCCATTCCAAAGCCAAAGGTGATGTCAAACCAGGAATCTTGTATTCTCCCTTCCTCCCTTCCTCTCCCTCTTCCTCTCTCCATCCCTGCCTCCTCTCTCTTCGCTCCTCCCCCTTCCCCACCCTCTCTCCCCCTCTCCCTCTCTCCCTCCCTCTCTTCCTGCTTCCCTATCTATCACCCTCCCTCGCTCTTTCCCTCTTCCTCGCTTCCCTTTCTTCCTTCCCTCCTGTGCTTAGCATAACACAATTGTCTGCACTCACAGATTTTCTTCTACTCGAACTTCGACAACTCATTTGCCCGAGCTGTTCTCACATCCAACACAGCTTCAGTTTACGGTCCTCCTCCTCCTGCACCCTCCATCCCCCTCTATCCTGATCCAGCCCCCTGCCCCCTGCCCCTCGTTCCTCGTTCCTCCTCCCTCCCCCCCTCCTCCCCCCCTCCCTCCTCCTGTCTAACTGTGCTGTCCAGATTCAACAACACTACTCGATTCATCCACCGGCAATCCTCTATGCGAAGTGCGTCCTGCTGTAAACTCCCGTTCTCCTCAGCTTCCCTACAGGGCATCGGCTCAACTTCAAACACGCCTGCCTGCGACTCCAACTATGTCTCACCTTCCCTTAGTGGGTCCCACCGGGCCAGCAGCAGACGTCTAACGTCTGACTTGTAGAGTTCGAAACATGCAAGCTGAAGAAAACATACTTCTTGAGAAACTTGATTAACGAGGTAACTTGTTTCTTGCTCAGTCGACATGCGCTTCTGTTGTTTTGTAACTTGCTCCGCAGTCAATCCTTGTTTTCCTTGTCGTATCCAAGTGCAACTCTGTTGTGAGTTTTTGTTGCCTTTCTGTGTCTCCCTCTCTTCATCTTCTTCTCAGGGGACTGTCGATTGGACTGTTTCCGTAGCACCAACATGTGGGTGTCTTGATAGATATGATTCTCTCCTGCCTCCTCCCTCCTCCCTCCTCCCTCCTCCCTCCTCCCTCCTCCCTCCTGCCTCCTGCCTCCTGCCTCCTGCCTCCTCCCTCCTCCCTCCTCCCTCCTCCCTCCTGCCCTCCTCCCTCCTCCCTCCTCCAATCTTCCTTGTTCCTCTCTTCCTTTCAATCTATCCCCTCTGCCCACTTCCTCCCTTGGTCTTGTCCTGTCCTTCTCTTCTCCCTCCTCTCTGTCTCACCTTTTCCCTTGCAGCCTCACCTGGCGTCTGCTCTGTCTGTGGAGGCACCGAAGCTGCAAAGGGCCTCAGGTAGCCCGCCCCCCTCCTCCCCTCCTCGTCCTCGTCCTCGTCCTCGTCCTCGTCCTCGTCCTCGTCCTCGTCCTCGTCCTCGTCGTCCTCTTCCGCCTATGTAGCATAACAAGCAGCGCAGATGCTTCTCTGATGCCGGTGGTAATTGCATGACACAATCGGCGAATCAGCCGGCAATGGTGAAGTTTCGATCCCCTTTGAGCATCTTTGCAACACATTCCTCCTCTTCCCTCCTCTCTCCCTCTGCTCCTCCTACCTCCTCCTCCTTTCTCCTTCTTCCTTCCTCCTGCCTTCTTTCTCGTTCCTCGTTCCTCGTTCCTCGTTCCTCGTTCTCCTCCCTCCTCCTCCCTCCGCACTTTCCTGCTCCCCATCTCGTTTTATTTCTCTCTCTATCTTCATCACCCAGCTGCCGCTGACTTTCTTCGATCCTCCTCTACCTTCTGCTTGTTCCCTTCCCCTTCCCCTCTCTTGCTCCCCGTCCCCCTGCTCCCTCTCTCCTTCCTCCTTCCTTCCCCTCCTCCATGTTTATTACAGGTTTTCACTCCTCAAAAGAAGATCTCCAAGGCAGTAGTTGTGATCGCTGCTGGTGAAAGAATTATCTGCTCCCTCCCTGCTCCCTGCCCTCCTTCCTCTCCTCCGCTCTCCTCCTCTGCTCTTCTCCTTCCTCTCCTCCTCTCTCCCTCCTTCATCTCCTCTCTCCCTCCTTCCTCCGCTCTCCTCCTCCGCTCTTCTCCCTCCCCTCCTCTCTCCCTCCTTCATCTCCTCTCTCCCTCCTTCCTCCGCTCTCCTCCTCTCTTCTCCTTCCTCTGCTCTTCTCTTCTTCTGCTCCATTCTCCCTGACTCCTTCCCCCTCCTTGTCTCCTCTCTTCCTTGCTCTCCTTGCTTCCTCCCTCACCCACTGCTGTCTTCTTCTTATTGCCTGTTAGTGGTCTTTAGCGGCGCTATGCTCTTCGGCTTTCTGCTGCTCAAGTACTACCAGGTGAGAGCAGGGGAGGAAAGGAGAGGGGAAGGGAAGGGGAAGGGGGAGGGGGAGGGGGAAAGGGGTGGAGGGGAGGAGGGAGGGGCAGGGGGGATGGGGAA